TATTATACAGCTCTCTGGAATATTCAATTCTGGTTGGTTAATTTTTCCATTTCAAAATGAAATTGAATATAAATATTAGATGAAACATTGAAACAGATGAAACAGCCTTTCGTTCATTACAGTCCTTTCTGTCCTCCTCTAATTGTATTATTTTATTTTTCTTCTTTTTTTTTTTCTTTGTCAAATTTTCCACCACAGTTGTTTGCTTAATTTAAATATGAATTAAAACTGAAGTTAAAATTAATTACACCTAAATAGTAATATTAAAACAGCAATAATAATAATAATAATAATAATAATAATAATAATAATAATAATAATGCAAAATAATTAAACAAAATTACTCAAAATTACAATATAAAAAATCTAAAGCTAATTCAAAATATGAATAAACTACAACTATAATACACCATATAAACTAAAATCACATTTAAATAATAGTGAAAGAACATTTATGTACTCATTTATTTATAAAATAAATAAGAGTACATTTTGGTTTCTTGTTGACTTTAAGCATGAAAAACTACATTAGGTTAGTTACTTTCAGTGTTGGGGGTAATGCATTACAAGTAACGCGAGTTACGTAATCAGATTACTTTTTTTCAAGTAACTAGTAAAGTAACGCATTACTTTTTAATTTACAAGAGAATATCTGAGTTACTTTTTCAAATAAGTAACGCAAGTTACTTTTTTTTTCCAATTTATTGATTGACAGCTGTCCTGTCCCCATGTTGAGAGAAATCAGAAGATGTTACTGTAGTTCTAAAATAGATATGAATATGCATTAATTCATCTCACTCTCACAAAAAACACAGATTCAGTATTCATCAAAATGAAACTCAGAATATGACGCAAACCTGCAATAATTAAATGTTAAACAATGCAAATATCCTTTATATATTTAATTCCATTCTATTAACCAATGTCTTTGCTTCTGACCTTCGAGTAGTTTATCTGAGCAACCCACAACACCCACCAGATTATGATCCACCAAAAACTATTTAAGTATTGCATCCAATTTCCAGTCAGAATGCTGCATTCAAAGGTACTAAAATTGCCAGTATATCTAAAAGTTTCATTCTGTTGCTGTGAGTTCTCCCAGGATGCACCACTTTTTCATGTGTGACTGTCATAGCGATTCACTGCAGGCCCTGATGCTCATTCAGGCGCTGATCTGCATAAAGCCTGTCAGATGGACTTTTGATTTAAGGAGCTTCTTTTATCCTCTGTTCTCTTTAAGCCGCAGCTCTAAAGTCCGTTCCACGAGAGCGCTCATGCATACAAACCTGACAGTCAGTCTAAAAACAAATGCTCATGTTCTCTTCCAGACGATGGAGCTGCAAACTTGTTCTTCAGCGGGTTGTTGTTTGAAACAGTCAAGCGTAAGAAACCACATGCTTTAAATTTCAAATGCAGATGGAGGGCAGCTGTTGACCTTCGACTAAAGTTATTTGCAATGGGCTTCAGTTATAAAAAGTTACCATTACTGGACCATATGTGTTTTTTTTTTGGTACATGCACCATTTTCCGGGTGGATATATACCAAGGTACTACCATACAATTCTTACTCTTAAGTACTTTGTGCTACCATGTAAACTGTGGAACATGAATATGTTCATAGTACTATAGTGTGACGAGTGGGGCGGGGCCGAGAGCCGTGGGAGCAGAAGGATAAAAGGAGGAGTGACGACAGTGCAAGATGAGAGAGGACCAGGCCTGGACTATTTGTTGTTTTGGTTCTGTTTGTGCACGGCAGTCGTCCGTGAGGGGCTGTCGCTCTATTTTCAGTTTTGTGTTTTTGTTATTAAATTATGTTTAAATGTTCGCCGGTTCCCGCCTCCTTCTTCCCGGGTTTCGGCACCAATGTAACAAAGTTCGTAGTTCGGGGAAGAAGGTGGCGGCAACCAGCGAACATTTACACATAAAACTTTAATAAATAAATAAACAAACACAAAACGAAAGTAAAAGCGGCAACCCCTCACGGACGCGCACAAACAGAACCAAAACAACATAAATAGTCTAGGCCTGGTCCTCTCTCATCTTGCACTGTCGTCACTCCTCCTTTTATCCTTCTGGAGCTCCTCCGTGGGACTCGAGACCGGTGAGTGGCACAGGTGTCGCTCATTATCATTTACTCCACCGGCTCTCGGCCCTGCCCCACTCGTCACATATGGTATTTCCAATTTGCTTAAAATATTATTTAAAATATGTGGAAAAATATCCCTGTAGTATGTAGCGAATCAGCTCAAAGGGGAAATATGAATAATTAATCATAACTAGTTATAATTAATTATAAATATTTGCATAATGTATCAATTAATAAGACTAGGTTTGATACTTGCACGTCTTGTCTGTCTGAAAGAGAGTCCTGATGCAATCTAACAGAACCACAGACTGAAGGCGGGTCACTGATGTGAGGCCTTTATGGTCTCACAAGATTCCCGCCTCTCAGGATGTCCAATGAGAAAGGCTGACATTCCAAGTGGGAGGTTGGAAATACTGGGGAGTTTTATGACCCTTTGTGTGAGAGCATGGTAATTTGCATATGGAACTTGAATCAAAATTACTAAAGATTCTTAGAACACTAATATATTGCCTATGTACCAACATATAATATACACTCTTAGAGAACAGTCCATTTCTCTGGGCATTATGTGTCTTTCCTACGAGGAAAATGAGTGAGTTTCTCTGCCCGTATTCCTTTGGGCAATAAAACCAGTGATATCAGCATTGTTTGCCATGGAACCAGAGGCCTGTTCTGCCTTTCTGAGGTGTTAGATGCATTTCGGGAGAAGGGTCTATAGACCCTCGTAATTGGCCCTTTGGTTAGGTGAGGGGGCGTTAGATATTATTTGTTAAATATAACAAAAAGTTGTGTGTCTGATTGGTCCAAATGCTACAAATAAATGATTTCACACAATAACACCAAGAAAATAGTCCAAAACCACATTTTTCACAAGGGTTTGACATGTGTCTCTCATATTTTGCATGTGATATTAACATGTGAAGTTCATATGGTTTTTCTGTAAGAGGAAAGATATGCTGTACTTTTATTGTAAGTGGTCTTACTCACACCGCTCCGACTTCGAGAATCTGCATCACCCGGCATGGGAGTCAGTTGTGCTAAGAAGTACACTAAAGACCTCTAGCTTACCTCATATATAGCTAACGCAACTCTTGAGGCCAGGGAATGATGGTAATGGATACAGCTCTTACTAGCTGTCTTTTGTTACAGTAGCCACTAGGGTCATGGCACCAATGTTCTACTCACACCACTCTTGGATTGGAACCAGTGTCATCCGGCATTGGAGAAAATTGCACAAAGAAGTATGCTAAACACCTCTAGCACACCTCTTGAGGCCAGGGAAGTGAAGTTTACAACTCTTATATATATAGCTTTGACTAGCTGTCCTGCCCATATACGGGTCACGGCACCAATCTGTTACACAAGGTCTGTCTCATTTTTAATCAAAATGATTGGGATCCTTATTTTCATTTCTTTAACTTTACTTGTCTGTTCTTGCACTGTGGTTTCATTGAATCTGTTAGGGTTCTGGTGCCATTCTAAATGAATAGATATTCTTCAGTTGATAAATAAGACCAGCCGAGCAGGAGCCTTCCTGACAGATGTTATAACAGCTTTGGGTTTATTTTTATGATTTGCAAAAATAATACAAAAAAGCAAGAGACTCAAAATTATTGTTAATGGCTGCCACCTATTTTGACATTGAAAGCTGTAATTTTGCTGAAATCCACTCTAGAAAACAACATGTCAAGCTTCAGAAAAGTGTCACATCTGTGAAACTCTATTAAGGTTACAGTAGATCTGTTATTGTTCATACTAAATTAATTATTATTCTTCAATCTGTCATCCTGTACTGTTTGTTCTACAGACAGGAGTGAAACCTTAAATCACGTGGCTTGAGGACTATTTTAAGGATCCAGACTTTAGATTTTCACGCAGCGAATGATAAAACTAGTAAAATAAAAAAATTCCATACGTTTACATTAAAGGAAGGAAAAGTACAAATCTGGGTAAAAAATGAATGAGAACAAAAGAAAGACAGCAGATAATGTGCTCAAGACATTGAGTAATCAAAGTATTTTTACTTGTCACTGAGATGCAACACTCAGTATTTTATGTTTGTGTCTGTGTAATATTTGTTGAGGTTTCTTTAATTTGCACCTGTTAGTTTCTCGCTGTATGTAATGCAGTTTTTGTGGTACCCTGGTGGCAGACAGTAGAGGTTTAATAACTGTGTCAGTGTGATTAATAACGGTGGAGTACCCAAGCAGAGCTGCCATCATGACTGCACTGATTACACCTGCTTTAAACTACATTACCCACAGTGATCTCTGCCCTGCCCCAACACCACAGCAATCATTTATGATCACTGTGTCTAAATGTTGGCTTAGCAGGAGCTTCATCTCTGTTACACAAAACAAAGTTCAAAGTGTAATTTATGTGTATTAGTGCTGGGGATTTTTCAGTCACTCTTTCTGAAGGTTATATCATTACGCCAGTAGGTGGCAACAAGTGACTGTCTAAATAAGTGAGTCATTGTATAATTCGCTCAACCATTTTGTTCAGAAACTCTGATTCGTTAAGGAATGATGCAACACTTTTGTGTACTGCTTGGACACGTGTAGTTCTGTTTTATCATAAACACGGCAATTTGGGCAGTGTAACAAAATAAATAGCCAAAGGGGGTTACACTTTATTTTAAGGTGTACTTGTCACAGTGTAATTATACATATAAGTACTGAAGTAATATTAATTAACCACATGTACTTACTATATGGTTAGGGTTAGGATTTGGGTTTGTCTTAGGGTTATTTGCATGTAAGTATGCATAATTAATTGTTATTATAATAGTAAGTACATGTAACATGTGTAACAAGGACACCTTAAAATAAAGTGTTACCCAAAAGTGCAAATAGAACAAACTTACCATGTGAGTCAAGAAAGTGACAATCTCTATCTCCCTGTCTCTCTCCAGGCTCCTACATGCTGGTGAACTCTTCTCAGTATGGTGCAGGGCAGCGGGCTCAGCTCATGTTACGTCCGCTGAGTGAGAACGACACACACTGTGTGCAGTTCAGTTATTTTCTGTACAGCCGTGATGGACACAGTCCCGGGGGCCTAAACGTGTATGTGCGTGTAAACGGTGGCTCGCGGGGAAATGCCGTGTGGAATGTTTCCGGCTCTCAGGGGCGACAGTGGCATCAGGTGGAGTTGGCCGTCAGCACCTTCTGGCCCAGCGAGTACCAGGTGAGACCAATGTCACGCGCAAACACTCAAATGCATGTTGACTTTATGTTGCAAATTACGGGTCAAAGTCCTGTAACCCAAATATTCAGCTTTTTTTTTTTTTTTCAGAAAAAAAAACAAACAAACAAAAAAGCACATTAACTTACTTGATTGTACTTTAATGTACTTGCAATTAATACTTACTGTAATATTTACTATTGTAATAAATTATTGTAACGTTATACAGTACAGTACCATTCAAAAGTGTGGTGTCAGTCATGTTTTTGAATTAAGCCTCTTATGCTCACCAAGCTTGGTATTTGATAAAAAAAAACGGTAATATCATGTAATTATTACATTTTAAATAACTGTTTTATATTCAAATATATTGTAAAATGTAATTTATTCCTGTGATCAAAGCTGAATTTTCAGCATCATTACTCCAGTCTTCAGTGTCACACGATCCTTCAGAAATCATTCTAATATGCTGATTTGCTGCTCAAGAAACATTTATAATTATTATCAATGGTGAGAACAGTTGTGCTGCTCAATATTTGTGTGTAAACTATGATACTTTTTTCTTTGATGGATAGAAAGTCCAAAAGAACACAAAATTAAAATAATTTGTAACATTATAAATGCCTTTACTGAAACTTTGGATCAATTTAATATATCCTTGCTGAATAAAAGTTTTAATATCTTAATAACTCGCTGACCTCAAACTTTTGAAAATGTATCAGAAACACTAATAAATGTTAGCCTTTCTTTGACCATGTGAAGTAAACCTAATGTTTTTGATACTGTACCTTTAAGACCATTTATGTAAATCATTACTGTTGCGATTGGCTAACCTTTCTAATAGTTTACTCTGTTATTCATCATCAGCTGGGTCAAGTTCAGTTGCTGAATGTTCAATTGTATTCATTTATTTAAAGCAAATGCGGTCAAAATGCTAGTGTTCTTTTCCTTGCAAAAACAATATATTTGCATTTAGTTTTAATGTTTTCCGCCACTACTGGTGAATAGTTTTTAGTAACCTTTTGCTTAATAAAAATGTCAAGTCTTTCACTCCTACCTGCTTCTGGTTTCAATATACCATAAATATTTTTGAAAAAGTAGTTTTTCTGGCTCAGTTTCAATAAATGTTGTTTGGGTTGGACTGGAAATGGATCTTTAGATGTGTCTTTTTTTTTTTTTTTTTCAAAAGATCAACAAAAAAACCTGTTTTCCATGGTTAATACCCTTTAAATATTGACATTTACAGTGTGACTGGGTATATACATTATTTCTTTAGACACACCACTGTATATATACCGACAAGCACACTTTTGCCCAACCACTAAATAATCTGTTATCTTCAGCTCTTGGCTCTGGTCAGCAGTGTGTGTTATTGAATCACTTGTTCTTCTGATGGTTAACACACAGAACACTGTCACCTTGTTAAAGGCTATGATTAATAACCTGCCCCTCATTTGCTCTCCAAAAAGCCCATAATGACCAGTAAGTTGAGTATGTGTGTGTGTGCATGAGTATAGAGTCATTTGCCCCCTGCTTGTGTGCATAACCCGTTTGAAAGAGGAGGTCTAGTGTGGTTTCCATAACCCTGACCCGTATCGCTCCTCTCTCCATAAATCAGACCAGCCTTAATGAGATTACATCCCTGCTACGATCAATGCACACACACACACACACACACACAGTGCGCCACAGGGTTCCCAGACAGACAATGTGAAGAAATTATCTTAGCCCTCTGGTTCTGTTGCTCGCTTTCTGTCTAATTTTATTTTTTTTTCTCTGAGAATGGTGTCTGGTTTGTTCAGACATGCTGTGGTGGAATACACATGGAATATGGTAAATTCGAGGTGTTTGGAGATGTGGCGAGGCATGTTAGTCAACTGTAGTTAGCCTGTAGTAATTGCCTGCAGTCATGTATGACACCGTAATTTATAATATGTAAGCTCATGATGAATGTTGTGTGTAATTGTGTAATTGTGTAAAGGAACAGGGACAGATACAAATGCACGTGAAGATGCAGATAAATTGCTGCATTTGTGTTGTCAAGAGCAGATAATGAGGAGCAGAGCAGAGGAATAACAAACTCTGTTCCAAACCCTAGTCAGCTGCCTACATAGCGAGGCGTTTAAAGCGTCACAGGTGCACCGGCAATCCCAAAGCTGTTCTAAAATGTAGGCAGATGCCTTCTGAAGGCCATTTCACACCAAACGCATCACAAAAAAGTGAAATGAACCACTGATGAATAGACCTTTCTCACCAAAAGCTCAAGTGAATGTGCGTCAGGTTGGAGGAACCGCAAATTCACACTTTGACACATCTTTCAGCCGTGCTGCCAAACTAACAAATAAACAAACAAAAAAATATGTTTAATTAAGCCATAGTCATTTTTGGTTATTTGTATGGGTGGATTTGATCATGACAGGTCAACAGCAAAGAAACTGGTAATTAAAGTGAGATTAAACGCACAAAGTGTATTTGTAATTTTAAAGTATTATTTTAGGTTTGCATACTATGTGTTGTATTCCCCTTTGCATTTTTTTTTGTATTTATTTTGATGAATACTGCATCTGTTTTGTGCAAACAGGACAGGTAAAGAGCATATGTTGTGTTAAGTATTATTGGTGCTCATTATTAATAATAGTTCTCATATTTTTCAGGTGTTTGTGCTTAATATTTTTGTGGAAACCATGATACATTTCTTACCGGATTCTTTGATGAATAGAAAGTCCATAGAACATCATGTATATGTGTATTTGAAATAAATATTTTGTAACATTATAAATGCTTTTACTGTCACTTTTGATTATTCTGATTTGATTATTATTTGATCCTTTGCTGAATTAAAAAAAAAAAAAAAATTTGAATGGTAGGGTATTATGGTTTCCACAAAAAGCAGCAAAAAGTTTTTTTTTTTTCCACTGATAATAATTATAAATGTTTCTTGAGCAGCAAATCAGCATATTAGAATTATTTCTGAAGGATCATGTGACACTGAAGACTGGAGAAATTATGCTGAAATCACAGAAATAAATTACGTTTTACAAAATATATTCAAAGAGAAAACTCTTATTGTAAATTATAATACTATTTCACAATATTGAACAAATAAATGGATAAGAGTGGTGTGTCACGGTCCGGGTGTTGAGAGATCAGGCAGGACGACGAAGATGACGAATAAACGGATATTTAATCAAGAAACAACAGGAGATCCAGACAGGGTAGACATCACACAGGGTAACATTCACAGGAACATGGACATTGACATTTACATTTACAATAACCGACAAACTAGACTACAGGAGACAGGAACTAATAAAGGGCAGATAACGAGGGGCAGACCTCCGGCGGAGGACGGATATCCGGGAGGAGACCGGCAGACCGAGACCAGGGAGGCGACGAAGGAGAGAGGAGCTAGGGAGGAGACAGGAGGGATCTGGAGCAGGAGGAGCTCAGCAGGACCCAGGCCACAGCCATAACAGCGGCCCACGGTGG